TGGCGATTGCAAATTTGCTTGTGCTGGGTTCTATAATCCGAGTTCGCAACATTTCTTTGATTTGTCTTTCTATTTCTTTCCGTTTCTCCAATGGCACGCGGTACGGTCGCTGTTTTGGTACTTTTGGATGCGGTATAAACTTTATGCTGTGAGTTATTGGACCTGTATAGCGGCCAAGGTTACCGTCATTTCCCACGAAACATTCCTTGTAATCAGTGAGCAATTTGTTGAATTTCTTGAAGCTGTAAGTTAGTCAAAATAGAAGGATTGATTTGAATACGATTTTGAATGGTTGTGGGGTGTTTAGTGTTGGGGAAATGAGGTAATTCTTCAGCAAAATCCGCTTCTGGAGGTATGTATTCCAAAACTTGTTGTTGTGAACTGTTTTTATATTCAGTGCTATCATTGTAGACTGAATATACGGGTTTCCACAACATTTCTGTTCCCACAAAGACTGCTGTAGCTACTTTTTTGTTTCTAGGTAGTGAAATAGGCGATGGATTTGAGTTGAAAATTCGCAAAATTACGTTTCCCTGTTCACTTGGGCAGGAAAGAGTTTTCCCAATTTGGATTCCTTCGGGTAATTGGCACTTTGGATTTTCTGAAGTGAAAAGTTCCCATGTTTGAGGAAATGAGGTTTTAGTTGTTCCCACTACCGCATGGTCAGAAAGAGGCTGTAATGTGATGTCTTGAATCAAGAACACTGGAAGTGTAGGGAAACTATAATTGTTAGGGTTGAAGGTAGTGAATGGAATAGTGGTGTTATCAAATGAGATGGTATTGTTATGGTAGTTGATTGACATAGTTTGCGCGAATTTCTGAATAATTTCGTTGCCAAGGATAAACGGAGAAGAACAGTGAGACTTCGATGCTACGAAGCAAGTTATTCGTTTCGTCTTTCTACCCAAGGTAAGGTTTGCAGTGAACTGACCAAGAAGATCCATCGTGGTTCCATTTGCTGTGATACCTTTGGTGACTGTGGATGGGAGGATACGAGCGTTGATTTTCTGAGCCACAGTGTCAGAAACAATAGTCAGGGCTGAACCTGTATCTAGAAGAGCGACTATAGAGAAGTTGTTGAGCTTCGTCGGAACGTAGATCATACGACTAGTATTCTTGTGTATAACACAGGAAACGCTCGGCAGAAAACTTAAAAACTGCTGCGACTTATTCTGTTGCTTGCTTGGGGACTTGAACTACTGTCGAATGAGTCGATTTATGACGTGACTGTTTGGGAATCTGTATTGAGACGCTTACTTCTTCGTTGTTAATCAGTGATTCTTTCCGATCTTGCTTGCTTCCTTGCAATCACAGTTGGGAGACTGTTTCCAGACGAAGCATTCTGCTGGGTGGACTTTCGCTTCTTGCAGATGGAGGCGAAAATAAATGATATGATCTTGCCAATGATTCCAAAAAGTAAGTTGAGTGGGATTCGGATTAATGCTGTCTGGCAATACAAGATTGCTATTCCGGAAGAAAAGTAGACAAATCGATACTATGACGATCGTTCTGACAATGCTATGAAGACCTAGTGATTCGAGGATTTTCTTCTTCTGAGATTGAAGAAGCTCTCCTGCGTTCGATTCCAAGAAGTGTGCTGTGTCCGTTAATTCCTGTCCTAGTTGATCCGATATTGAATCTAATTCGCCCGGAGATGATTTAGACTGTATGGTATACAGATTATCCATTGAGTTGAGACGATTCTTGATAAGGTATATGTCGGTTGAGATTCTAGCCAGATCCGAATGAAAGATGGGTGGAGCATTGAAAACAAAATTTTCGCTCGTCAAATGGTTAGGCAGATTTAAATGTATGTTAGTTACTTGTGCATAACCTGAAGGGGATCTATAGTGATTATTTCCATCATTATAGATACCAAATGGTAAGTGACCACAGTCTGCTCTGGGACTAGCTTTGACGAGGTCACGTGTACCTGGGTATATAAAATAAAATGTTTTTCCAGACCTCACTGGGGTATAAGTGTAGCAAATTCCATTTACATTATGATCGAATATAATTTCATCGACAACAATCTCTTTACATTTCGATATCATCAGTACATCTCCTGCTGGTAAAGCAAATATGTCTTCTCGATTGAGAAGTATTCGAGCTGCACTGGTTGGGTTAATTTGTGCTATGCTCTTTATTGACTGAGCTTTGAAATTCATAAGAGAACATATACGATCCAAAAGAAAATTGAAGTCTTGCTTTAGAATCTCATCCATTTTGAACTTTAAGAATTGCATTTTTGTATTAAGCTCTGCATGTCTGTTATCTTGCCGTTGTTCGTGGCCAAGGGAATAATCGTTATTCATAACCGAAAAGTCTGGCTCTGTGTTGAGAGCAAGATGATGTGCTATTTCAGCTGCCATTTTTGAAGGTATCTTATTGGTAGTGTCTTCCTGGACATCTAAAACTGAATTTTGGGGGCCATTCACAAGTTTACCTAATGATTTATAGCTATTTGAGGATACTGCTGCTATTTTCTCATTCCGGGCTGATCTTTTGCTTACAAGTCTGTTTGCTAGTTGAACGAAATAATATAGAAAGGGTAACTTAGGGTTTGAAAAGGTGAACGGAGTCTCTCTGGTGGTACAAGTATTGCTACTTCCCACAGACATATTAGATGGATAG